TATTACATATATATTAACATAATACGTATCGGTAATATAAAATAATTAGTAATTTACTATAAATTCAACTTTGACATTAAATAAATTTTGAATTGAAGATTCATAATAAAATTATTAAAGATTTTCTTGAACAATATTTAAATAATTTCGTATAAAAAATATTATAAGCTGCATTAATAAAAACTTTTCTAAACTATTTTTTACCTCTTTTTCCATATTTAATTGGTTTATGCTATTTCTTAGCCTTATTCTGTCCCCTACAATATTTTTTGTTAAAATATCAATTTCTTCATCTTTTAATATCTTTATTATTTCCATCTCGTTTATTTTATTTTCTGAAAAAAATATTTAAAATTATAGTTTTATAAGGTTTAATAAAAAAATATATATAATTTTAAGGAAAAGAATCAGTAAAATTTCGACCACCCTGTGTAAGACTTAATTTTCTATTTAAAAACAAACAAAATGTAAAAAGTTTATGTTTTCATTAAAAATAAGAAAATTAGTATCGTTCCAGGAAAAAAACAAACACGGAGTGTATGTTTTCATTTAACTAATATTTTCTGTAAACAATTATATATTTGGACCCTGTATATTTAACCTAATAGTTTTTTAGTTGGTTTAAAAAAAAAACATTTTTGGAAAACAATTATATATTTTCATCAAAGACTTGCTTACTTTTTTAAAATAAAAATTTATTTAACTTAAATAAATGAAAGTTTATGTAGGTAGACATGTTGGCAAGCCGACCAACAAAAATGCTTTGCTTTTTTTAATTAGGTACTTAATTCTAAATAATTATTATTAATATTTATTAATATAATAATATTAATAATATATTATATTGTTTTGTTTTACTGGTAGCAAGTTGCAAGTTAGATTGATACATGGAAGAATGCATTAATTAATATATACATGTGGCAATGCACCATTTTGTGTAAATACGGCAAACTGTTAAAAATTAAGTACTTACCCTCAAATATTGGCCACAAATGACCAAGATTGTTTTCTTCTAGCCACTTTTTCACTTCCATAATATTAAAAAAGATATTACACCATTAGTTATAAATTTTAATTATAATTATAATCTCCACACCACCAATATCAAAGACGAAAAGCTTCCGTACAGACAACCTTGGGAATCGTGTTTTGTTGCTTGGGGTGGGGTGATTTGGCAAAATTTGAGGAGTAAATACATATTTATTTGTAATAAATAAATCGTTATTTGGCTAAAATAAAATATTGTTTCAAAAATTATTTGTTAAATACAAATAATTTTTGTTTGATGCAACAGTTTAATAAGTCAAACAAATTTTAAAAAATAATCAAATAAGTTGATTTATTTTAAGAAAACAAAATTAGTTCAAACTAAATAATTATTATTTGTTTGAAATAAAATGCAGTTAAATAACTCATTTATTTGACATTTTAAAATTATTTTTTTCTGTGTACTATAGTTATTAGTGGCTGCTTTTTCACTTATACCATGGGATACCATGGGATACCATGGTATCCCCGACATAATAGTCAATTCTTATGTAAAATTGTCCCCTGAATCCCAAAATACTGTCAAAAATTATAAAAGTAGAGCAGTTTTTGAGATATAGTCAATTCCATATTATATAGAAAATGGACTATATCTAAAAATCTGATCTATAGATACTTTTAAAACTTTTAAAACTTTTGACGACACCACCATCTGTTGTTTTAACTATGGCCGTCCTATTCGAATTTTATAAAATGTATAAATGGTTGTAGATAGAGATATAGTCAATTCCATATTATATGGAAAATGAACTATATCTAAAAATCTGTTCTACTTTTATAACTTTTGACGACACCACTATCTGTTGCTTTAATCATGGCCGTCATATTCAAATTTTATAAAATGTATACATGGATGTAGAGAGAGATATAGTCAATTCCCTATTATATGGAAAATTAACTAAAAATATATCTAAAAAAATCTTTTATAACTTTTGACGACACCACTATCTGTTGCTTTAACTATGGTCGTCATATTCGAATTTTATAAAATGTATACATGGTTGTAGAGAGAGATAGAAAAAATAAGGAATTTAACGATGTTTCAAACTACATAAGTTATTGCGTCCAAACAAAAGATGGTGATGATAACTCAAAACATAGTAGCAAAGAAATTATAACTTTTCTCTAATTTAACCGATTATGTAGCTTAGGGTGGTCGTTAAAAATTAAATTTTTTGCGACGCCCCCTAAAAATCTTTGTTTTGATGAAAAAACACTGGTAATTTTTTTTTAAATTAAAAACAACACGTGCCTCAAGACGTTCTAAGTTAATTTTTTGGTATTAATATGTCTTTTCTGAAAATATGAAATAATAATTTTTTTGAGATTTAAAAATTATTTACCTACAATGAAATAATTTCACCTTGGAGTGAAGAAATAATTTAGTTTTAAAATAAAAATATCAATTTGAATATCTTTCATTTTTTTATTTAAAAATGTTTAATTTAAATTTTTGTCTATTGTTATTTCGATTAACGTCCATTTCAAGCGCGCGAAACGCACGAATTACAAAACTGTTTTTATAAAAAAAATTGTGGATTATTTATTATATAATATTTTGACATCAAAATTGTCAAAAATATTCTTCTTTTATTGGGTTATACATTAAATTAAAAAAAAGCAAGAAATATTTTATGAAAGTAGATATAATTTTAATAATTGAAAGGTGTGGAAGGGGACAAAAAAAGATTTAATTAAAAAAAAGTCCAAGTGTTTTTTCATCAATAAGAAGCTTTTTAGGGGGCGTCGCAAAAAATTTAATTTTTAACGACCACCCTAATGTAGCTCTTCAAATAAAAAATTACACCTAGAAGTATACTTGGTACCTTAACCGTCAAAAAAATGCCAACAAGCTGTCTTAACAATTGTTTCTATTTAAGTTAATATTCTCTGTCAAAAAAGGGTGTTTTCGGAAAAAAATGACCATGGTCCTTATTTTTGCATAAATCGTTTGGGTCTCGTAAGAAAACCCTAATATTATAATTTAATATTAAAGTTAATACTAACATGTAAGTTATGTAATAAAATATTATCGAAAAACATCGTTACTTTGTTATGTACAATAATTTTATGTTGTTTTAACTATGCGTAATATCGTTAAATTTATATCCACATAGAATAATATGTAATTGCTTTAGGTACGGTAAAGTACAGCAAATAGTTATTTTTGTAATATCCCACATTTTTTCATTTATGGTTTTCAAGGTTTTTCCACGGAGTTTAAATCATAATTTTAAGAACACACGAGACATCCTTTTCGGGCGTCTTGAGTCATTTAAAATTATGGAAATAATTTACAGTTTTGTTTGTTATAAAAATGTGCATTTATTTTTGTTATTACGTTTCAAAAGGAGAATAAATTTATGACAGTTTTAAGACATTTATAGGTAGATTAGAAAGTCTGTAACAAATCTATTTATTATTTTCTTATTACTTGTATATTTTTAAACTCTAATGCATAAAAAATCCATTTCTGTACCGGTGGGTCAAATAACACTAAAGGTTCATTTAAAGTCTGTCGTTATTTAGTTCTGGTGTGCGGTCATTATGAAAATGCCGGAAATAAATGGAGCTCGCAACTTTAACGAAACTTATACAGAGACCCAAACTGGATTTCTTTTCTCCGCCAAGAAAAGGAACCGGGCAGAAATACGGATATTATTTGCAGGTGTTCCGAGGTCCTTGTTAGTCCTGGCATGGCAGGAAAATGGCCTCGGCCGACCGCCATTCTCTTGTTTTGTTGCCACATAAATAAGATTGATGTTCCCATAAAATGAACAAAAAGAAAGAATATTCGCTGCGTTGTGCTCCGGCACATGGGGTGGCCGAAAGAGTCCGAAACCCCTTACAGCTAATCTTTAATTCACTTAGGTGTTTTAACAGCAAGGCCCAAATCTTTATAGGCCTCCTACAATGATCTGTATGCTTTTAACTGTACGCTGTATACTCGTATGTCAAACTTTTACTTATAAATAAAATAAATATTTTTTTTCGAGACGTGAAAATAAAATGCTGTTCAAAGCAAGTGAAATTAGAATTTTTCAGAAAATCAAATAAAAAAATTGTGCTTATAAGCTATACACACTAGGGTGATTGAAAAAATGGAATATTTTTTTTACTTCCGACACTGAAAAATTGGCACCTCTAGAAAGTGCTCACCAAATTTGAGCTCTTAATATTAATAGAAAGATCCTCCTCATCACAGTTTTTCATTTTTTTTTTAGTTTTTTTAGATAAAAAAGAAAGAAGAATTTATTAAATATTAAATTTTTAATAATTATTGTAAAATGGATATGACATATTTTTGTGGTGAAAGTTGTAGATTCAATCCTAAAATATATTTTTTTGTCCAAGCACTAGTGCTATGGAATGATAATAGTGCTAGTCAGTACTAGCCAAGCTCTGGCAGTGCACATTAGTGTAAATATGCAATCAGGGGGTGTTCAGTTGACAAAAACGCAAACTTGTTTTGTTCATTGTTTTCTCAGAATTTGTGTTGGTTCATAAGGTCGAAAATAGCGTGAAAATCGCGTTTTGTTTATTGTACAGACAAATTTCAAGTACAGTACTTACAAGTTACAATAGCTCAGTTTAATGTATATAATAAGTAAATCGTTTTTTTTTTAATTTTTAGATGTTTTTTTCTAAGAGTAAAACGACTTCATAGTTTTATTTTGAGATTATCACTGCAAAAATTTGGTATATAATTATATAGAAGAATTTCCCGATTCGTTAGATATTTTAGTCACAAAATGGGTAAGAATTGGTTACCTGTATAAAACCGAGATTTTAAGCTTGCTTTACAAAGAGCCATACAATTTATTTTTGCAAAACTATTTAGAAAATTAAAAGAACAAGGTATCAGATGACCTATAGTGTAATTGAGGATTTTGAGGTTTTCTACCCATATATATTTTTATATAGATACTTTTTAAATTATAAAAAACATTTTTTTATTATTCATTAATTTTTATTTGTTTTTAAATGATTACATCAAATATCAATTTAAAATATCAACAGTTGGGCAACATTCTGGAAAATCTAAAGAATTATCTTGCTTAAGTGCATGATTGCCTGCTACCACTAAGGGACATCTATAAAAAATTAAAAGAAATATTTTTAATCTTCATAATTTTGTTTACCTACGTTTTTATTCCTATAGTATCATCATCATTGCATGTAGCAAGTTGACAGTTTTCCAAATTTCGACCTTCGCCGTATTCAAATCTTCCTGTAGCCTCCGAAAAACAAAACCCTTTGTGGCATTAAAAAAATATTTGTAAAAAAAAATATTTGTAAAAAAATTAGTTTACCTTTGCGACCAAATGCAGTTGGCAAAATGCAGCTTAGAATCACAAGTAAAATGAATGATTTCATTATGTATGTTGTGGTTATTTCACTTTAAAATTAATGTGTCGTCCTTTTTATACTTTAGCACATAAATTATTTTAGGCTATGCGTTAAAAATCGATTTTTCGGTACATAAAATCTTATTTAATGATTTTTTTTAATTAAATTTGATTATAATAAAAACTGGTTTTTAAATAATTTTATTAATTTGTTATATACTTGAGTGTAAGTATCTACTAAGATTAATATTGTAATTTAATACTGTTATTTTAGGGTTTTATTTTTAAGTTTTGAACATTTTTAGTCAAGTTTAACATTTTAATTTAATTTTAGACAGTTTAATGCACAATTCAAGATTTTAGAAACATATTTTATTTTATTTTATATTTTTTATTTGTTTTTAAATGATTATCTACATCTAATATCATCAAATATCTTTATAAAATTAAACGGTTGGGCAACATTCTGGAAAGTCTTTAGTATCATCTTGCACAAGTTCACGATCACCTGCTTCCAATTCAGGACATCTATAAAAAATTAAAATCAATATTTCCAATATTCATAATTTTGTTTACTTACCCTTTTGTATCTATAGTACCATCCTCATTGCACAAAGCTTGTTGGCAGTTTTTCAAATTTTGAACCTGGTTGTATTCAAGTCTTCCTGTAGCCTCCGAATAACAATGCCCTAAGTGACATTAAAAAAATATTTGTAAAAAAAATAATTGTAAAAAAAATAATTGTATAAAAAATTAGATTACCTTCGTTGGCACCAAATGCAGTGGCCAAAAGGCAGCTCAGAATCACAAGTAAAATAAATGATTTCATTATGTATGTCGATGTTATTTCACTTTAAAATTAACATGTGTCGCCTTTTTTATAAGTACATAGCAAACAAATTATGTCATGCGTTAAAAATCGATTTTTTGGTACATAAATCTTATTTAATGACTTTTTTTATTTCAATCGATTGTAGTAAAAACTTGTTTTTAAATAATTTTATTACTTTGTTTTATACCTGAGTGTAAGTACCTACTAAGATTAATATTGAAATTTATTACAGTTATTTTAAGGTTTTGAACATTTTTAGGCAAGTTTAATTTTAGACGGTTTAATGCACTATTAAAGATTTTAGATTTTTAAGGTAGTATCAATAGACTATAGCTATAGGCACTTTTAAAAACATGGTGTTGATCTAACCAAGTCAATATACAAAAAAATGCAAATTCTTGCCCATATATTGTACTCTCCACACTGTTGTGGTAGAAGTTTTAGTAAATTAAAATTAATAAGTAAAGGTGAATATATTGAGATGTCCCCCAAGTGAAAATGATTATTTTTATTTTTGGTTTGTTAGTCTAGAACGGGGTTTTTGTGAAGCCACCAGGTCTAGTAATAACATAACATAAGTGGTTCTGCACTAATGCAAGAATTTTAAAAAATCATACATTTTGAATATTAGAGCTTCACGGAGGTTAGGATTTCGTATGTTTTTTTTAAACATCCCTTTGTATATTTGAAATGAGTTATTGTATCTTTTGACACCTTAATATTTTTTAAAAATACAATTGTACATACATAAAATATTTATAAAAAAATCTACTTACTGAGATATTACACTTTACGGTGGATAGGTTTTAAAATAGCAAATTAATGAACTTAAACTTTTGAATTATACAACAGCAACACTCTCATCTGCATATAAATTTTAACTGCCCTTCAGAAATCACATGCATCTATAATGTCGTAAACAGAGGTTTTTGCTTATTTAAAATGATTAAAGCGCCATCCGTTGCATAAAATTTAAAGCAAAAACAGGTTCACGGAGGATAGAACAACCACATAAATTTTTATGAAAATATTTCTTTTAATTTTTAATAATATTTTATATTTGATTCGATTGTTTTGGATGTTTAATTTACTTAGTGAATTGATATTTTTAGTATACTTTTACTACCTTAGATATTTGAAAACATATAGGTTAACCTAGAAAGAGTAACAGTCACGGAGGATAGGTTTTAGATTTTTAAAACATTGTAAAACATAATTAATTGCGGTTAAAAATCTGGAACCTGAGCTGTAATATCTACTTAATTATGAAAGATCAAAACACAATAAAAGTGTATGTCAAACTCATATATATATATATATATATATATATATATATATATATATATATACTTTCTTTCATGAGTCAGTAAACTTTTGCGCAAGCAATAAATTTTGATAATTTACTCTCTAAAAATGAATTAGTCGAAAATGTCAAAAGTTATAAAAGTAAAACCGTTTTTGAGATATAATCAATTTTCTATGTAATAATAATAATCCCAAAAACTGCTCTATTTTCATCATTTTGAACGGTATTTTCGGATTTAGGAGATAATTATTAAATTATTTTTAGAGATTACATTAGATTTTCTTGCTGAGAGAAAAAAACGTAAAGTTTATTTGTACTTTTAGTTAGGCATTTTAATGTATAAATTGTTTTACTCCAATTTTTCAATTCCCTCTTATTTTACTCTGTAAAAATAAGGACGGGAACTTGTACCTTTGCCCCCCCCCTAGAAATTTTGTAGTTCCGGATCTGAATTAAGAGCAAGTTGGTAATTAATCACAGTAAATGTCATAGTAACAATAATAATTCACATAAACGTTCGTTGGGGCCCAATGTTAATGACATATTTCGATGTTCAAATTTCCAATGTTATTAGTCCTTGTAAGCCGAGAGATTAAGCAATAATGCAAAAGGGGAATACTCGTTAACAGGGGAGACGATGACCACTGGTCAGCTCCACGAATTCTGCAGAGTATCACTCTAGCTGCCCCCTTCAAATTTTTCCTGCACGTCATCTCCTCCGTCTCGCTTCAGCTCATTGTGTTGGCGTAAGGTGGACGTGCAGAGCATTTCGGTAAATAGAAAAGGCAGTAAATTCCAGAAATAAAAGGACAATGTTCTCTTAATTCTTGTGCCTTTCGCAGTTGGCCGCAGATGTTGGAAATATATATTATTCATTATCCATTATTCCTTCGCCTGGCATGGACACAATTTCTAATTGGATTTGACGAAAATCGATATCACATGCACTGTGCAAATTAAGAATAACTGCCACTTTTTTGCCTTACAATTTATTATAAAACTGGATATATCAGGTCTAAATAATTTACTATAAAATCGCCTTCTACGAGATGTGTTCAGAAAATAACGGGAATTGTTAAATTTCGCGGGTTCAGAGGGTCCGGTTGTCATAAAAAATCTTTATTATGTTGGTATAGATGCCCCCGAAGTATGATAAAAACTTTAGCTGTTTTCATTGTTTACTTTGTCTGAGGCAGCCGCTAAGGTTAGACGTGTTTTATGAGCTCGGCGATTTTTCTTTCGTTAAAAGAAAAGGATCAAAGAATTTGTATCCAATTTTGCTTAAAAAATTAAATAAATTCTGTGAAATGTTAACAAAGGCCTATAGTGAGTCTGCTATAAGTAAAACAAGAGTTTACAAGTGGTATAAAAGTTTCCAAGATGGCCGTGAAGACGTTGAAAATGACGAACGCCCCGAACGCACAAGCACATTAACAACCGATAAAAACATGGAAAAAGTGGAAGAAATGGTTATAAACCATCAGAGAAGTCGCTGATGATGGTGGTATATCGATTGGCTCATCCCATAAAATTTTTTCGAATGTTTTGGGTATGAAACGGGTGGCAGCAAAATTTGTTCTAAAATTGTTAAATTTTGAACAAAATTTTTGGCCAAAAACAATACTGTAATGATGCCCCAGCCTCCATATTAGCCAGACATGCCTCTGTCTGACTTTTTCCTATTCCCAAAAATAAAGAGAACCTTAAAGGGCCGAAGCGTCGTTTTGCAAGCATAGATGACATTAAAACCGCCTCGCTGAAAGAACTAAAGGCTATCCCAAAGATTGAGTTTTAGAAGTGTTTCGAGTATTGGAAGAAGAACTGGCACATGTGCATAATATCCAATGGGGACTATTTTAAAGGCGACAACATTAATGTAGACGAAAAAATAAATATTTGTTTCAAAAAACGAAAATTCCCGATATTTTCTGAAGTATTAATTTTTCCAAAAATACGTCAAATAATAAAAAAGTTATCGCTTTAACTTAACTAACCACAGCAATAATTGAGAACACAATTTTCTCGAAACATATTATGTAAATGTTTATTATGTAAATTAATACATAAATTTACGAACTGGTTTTGCATAAAAGGATGTCTCACATAAACATGATCATTGTTGTTCTGAACTTTAAAGAATTAACACTAATTGTAAGATGAAATTCGTTATTTTGTTTGTGTGTTTGTGTGCCATTTTCCAAGTATCTTTTGGGGCTCTAGCTCAGATTCCAGCTGATGAAACACCTGGTAAGTTTTAATGTGTTGTTCATTATCTTAAACATAAAATATCATTGATTCGGTATGAGAAATTAACCTTTAAATGTTAAATTATTATAAGTAACATTTAATTTGTTTTTAGGACACCCTGGTTTTTGTAATTCAGAAGAGACTGGACCCATGAAACAATCTGAAATAAAGCAACTTAAAAAATGCCAACAAGCTAGATGCAACAACGATGGTTCAATCACCTTGGAATCGTAAGTTTAAAAAGTTATTTAAATAAATATTTAAACATAATTATGTTTTTAGATGTGGTACAGTTCATGTAAAAGGTTGTAAATTGGAGCAAGATTTTACTAAACCATATCCAGACTGTTGTCCAACCGCACCATGTCTTCACCTGATTTAAAATTATACAATATATATTTTTTATAATTTAATAAAGTATTGTTTTTTATTTTGCCTCTTCTCTGACACAGATCATCCTTACAATCACTCTGACCGGGGGTGAAATTGCACATAATCAAATAATCGTGGATTAGTTTTTTTTTATTTGGGAAACAAAGATGATGGGAAGAAAAATTGTGGCAAATTAAGAAATATTCTAAATTTAAAAACTGTCATATATAAAATGTTTTGAATGCGTCTCAGGAACCAAGTGGTTTTAAAATAATAATAAAAACTGTAATTTTTGCTCTAAAAAAACTTAATTGCTACCGCCTTATTTCGGCCCCGTCTATGTGTTGATGAAAAATTACAGTTTTATGATTATTTCAAAACAACTTGGTTCCTATGTCTAAAGTCACCAGATTCTGTCAAAAAACAGAGGGACATTTTGTATGAATTTACCTTAATTACAAAATTGACACAATGATGAAATTGTAAATTTGACGTTATATCGTATACTTAATTATTGTTGATTGTGTCATTTTTGTAATTAAGGTTAATGCCCCACTATGTACTATGATCCACGCCCAAAAGTCCCACCTTGATATTTGAATACAAATAATTTAGGTTACCTATCTGTTAGTTTAACGCCATTTTTTATACTTATTATGTATTTTTGGTGTTATAAATTAACAACAAAGTTAGCGTTAAACTTACAGATACCTAACCCCCTAATTGTATTCAAATGTCAAAGTAGGACTTTTGGGTGTTGAGCATAGTACATATAATTATTTTATACTTGTCCTAAAATCACCAAATTTTTTAAATTTGTCCGATTATCGCAAAAAAAAACATTATTATCGTCCGATAAAACAAAACTTTCTTGGCAAATGTTTGGGGGTAATACCACGAGTGCTTAAAAATTACTGGTCATTTTTATGAAAGCGCCGTTGTTTATAATTTCACGAATCAAATTTGTACAAAAAGCTTAAATAAAAATTATTTTGTTGATTTTCAAGCTAAAGGAAAAATATTTCTGAAGTAAAATACCCATTAAAAGTACAAAAAATGGGTGTAATGGGTGCGACACTGAAACTGCGTTTTTTCATGATAATAAAGTGTTTGTTCAAGATACGTCAATAAACAAAAATGGTATAAAAAATTAGATATTTAACTCAAACAAAATGTACATAAAAACTTGTACAGAAAACCTTTTATAACGACATGAAGTTGATACTAAAAAATTTTAGATGATGGCAATATTTTTTTGTGTAAAACTTGAATAGAAACCTTAAACAAGCACGTATTTTAAATGCACAAATATTGTATACTTTATTTTTTAAAATTTTCTCAAAATGTAACAGGTAGGTACGACATTTGAACATTTTATCGAGTATTGAAACTTCCTTGTTTATTTTTATTGTTGGCTTTTTAGCATAAAAATGTACGAATATTTTAAGGTTATAAATTACGTTGCAATTAAACTTTTTGACTTTAGATATGGTTCTTATTTTGTTTGTTAAATAATAAATCTGATTTTTTGTCAAGGTGGGGAAAGGTTTTGCGGAAATATCCAATGGTTAATTTATTAAAACAAAATTAACAAAAATATAATAATAAATCTAACATTTTAAGATTAATTTTTGTGCAAGAACTTGAAAAAAACTGGTTCCCTTATTGTTGGACATTTTTGGTTAAAGATAAAAACAAACCGTTGTAAATGTAACCTGGTATTTCCAATAGGAATATACCGATAGAAGTGGCGTCTGATGGATAATATCTCTGTTATTTACGAGAAAGCGATTTTCCAAAAATGTCTACGAAATGGTATTTTTTTATGTTCAAATATGACCCTGAGAGCTCAAGGAGTCTAATCTCTGAAATAAATGAAAATACTATTATTAGTATTAGTATTTTATTGGGTAATTTACTGAATGATTTATTTTTAATTAAATTTAGAATAAATCGGGCAAATTAGTGGCAAAAATGCAACGTGGTCTTATTGAGTTACAGAAGGATCTTAGCTCTAAGATCCTTCTGTAACTCAATAAGACCACGTTGCATTTTTGCCACTAATTTGCCCGATTTATTCTAAATTTAATTAAAAATAAATCAACGTGTGCACACGTTATCAAGGCGGTTGTTATGTAAATAAGAGTTTTAACTGTATTAATAATTAACGAAATTGTTTAAAGGATCCAAGTTTATATTAACAATTTATTATTTCAGTTCCCCCTATAATTATCAACAAGATGAAAGTCGCAATTTTGTTTTTGTGCTTCTGTGTCATTGTCCAAGTTTCTTCTGGAGCTCAAGCTCTGATTTCAGCTGATGAAACACCTGGTAAGTTTTAATATTGTTTTTTTATTATCATGAATAGTAAAATACTGTTTTCCACTTCTAACGCAATCGTGCAATTTATAGTGTTTGCAGTCTTGCCCATTAATAAAATATAAATCATACGGATACAGGCAACTACAAATACACATTTAGCAACATTGGACGGAATGATAATAGATGGCGATAACTACTAAAGACAGTTGTTGCGCATGACTTTAACTAAGTGACAAGTATTATCATCAAATTAATGGCCTTTATAATCTGTGCGCATTAGTGTTAAGTAATTGTGGTAATAGGTACGATTTTGTAGTTGTTTATGCAAATATATTATTTTTTATGAGTAATTAAACAATAAACATTGGTAAGTTAAAGCCACGTACAGAGATTGATATTAGTATGGCCCATACTTTATGTGTAAATAATAATCATATGTTTTTTGGGTTAGGTATTTTTCCCATGTCATTTTTAATATGAATATAAAAATATTATACAATTTCAAGCCCCGCATTTTTCTTTTGAACCTGGTCTCTAATTACATTACTTATTAATACATTTTTTTGCATAGGTCATTGTAAATCAGCTCAACTTTAAAATCGTAGGTTTCTTTAGATTGGAGATGCATTGATATTTTTTAAGACACATGGTTCTATTTTGGGATGTAAATGTTACAAATGTAACTTTCAACAGTAAATTATTAATTTAGTCTAATGTGTTAAATCAATATTTTTTATTGCATAACCAATTCATTTATTTTTCAAACTAAAAATGCAGAATGTGTGGAATGGCGATTTCGCAAGTCAAATACAGGGGGGCAACCAGTGGCGGCTGGTGGATTTTGGGTATACCGATATCTCAATTACTAGATAAGTTTATAATGACATTAAATAAACAAGTTCTGCGCAAGCAGAATTTAAATTGAAGTTTGCGAAAAAAATATAATGGCGCCCCCAGCAAATATAATATAAATTTAATTGGTGCAATTTATTATTTACCATAGTTTATAGACAAGTTTTAAATTTCATTTAAAAAATCCTCCAGATTTTATACCACCTTAAATTTTTAAAATTTCTTTTCAAAGAAATAATAAAGCCAACAAATGTCATATAATGGTTCAAATATGTATTATTTGGTGTCCCCAGGGACAAATCCTAGCGCGCCACTGCTTTGAAACAAATTATCCTTACAGAAGCGTGAAATAAGGAAATAAGGACCTCAATCACTTCGATCAGGTGGTACATTTCGTCCGGAAAATGCACATAATCAAATAATTTTATCACTTTCTCAGGAAATTTTCCTGACATCTTGATGAAGCAATATGTTCAAATCATTTTTTTTTTAAATTTCTGCTTTATGCATTTTAATTATAATTTTTTATTGATTTAAGAAAATTAAAATACTGAATCTTATAACAACTGTCTTTAGTTTTTCACCTCCTTCATTTAGTGGACCAGTGTATTAAATAGGGAGATCTTAGAAGAAAAAACAACAGGAAGGAGTCTTATCATTTTAAACAAGGACAGCAAACACAAATACCGCATGATATGGAACCGACCATTCTGGACACAAACTCAGTTAGTAAATGATATCCGAGAGGCAAATATAATGCATTATTATTATCTAAAATTGGGAGAAAGTGAGGTTAAAATAAGTTTTTTATTAATGAAAATTACTAAAATGCATTAAAAAACGCACTCTCTTAAAATGAATTAGTCAAAAATAACTAATTATAAGTCATATTTGACTAATTGTCATAGTGAAAAAGCAGTCACTAATAATTAGTCAAATTCCACTGAATGAAATAGTTAAATTATTAAATTTAAATTTAAAAAAAGTTTTGACCCAGCCTGGGATTGAACTCACGTCTGTCACTTGAGAAACTTGTCAACCTAACCTCATAACCAGTCGGCTGTCAGCCGCTCTTATAAAAGTAAATTTTATTTGTCAATAAATATTGTTCATAATATTTTAAATTTTTATATATTATTTGTGTTACTGTTTTGAGCTAAACTTTTTGCATCTTTATTTGTTTTATGGGTCGTTTAACCATGGAGAGGTATATGCATTTAATTCAAATAATACTTTGTTGTTGGCCGTAAACGATTAAAGAAATTAGTTTCTTTTAAATGTCAGAAATAGTCAAATATGGTGACTAATCTTAACTATTTACGTAGTAAAAAATAACTATTTAAAAGTGAAAACGACTATTAAAAAAAATGCTGGTACTAATTCAAATAGTAGAATTTTGACTATTTCATTTTTAGAGAACATAGTATTACACTATAGTGATAATGCGCAGTATCTTTCGTATAATAATATACCTACCAATATAAAACTGCTTATAGGTACTATAATATTGACTAAATATTCTAAATATTCTAGATATTTCATAAACATAACCCATTTAAAAAATATATATAAAATATAGGGGAGAAACGGATCATTTAGCCACGGGAAACATTCAGCCACTTAAATTTTCTTTTGAATCTTTGAAAAAACCGCCTTTTGTTCTGTCATAATTTGTATAACTAAACGCTAACATAAACGTTGTTATGGAAACTTTTAATTAAAAAGTAAAAAATCGAGGGAAAACTTTTTTTACCAGTTTTACTTTTCCAATATTTCCTTGAAGGTATATTTTTTAATGAAAATATCTTCCTAAATATTGTATTTTTTTGTATTAACATTGTTTTTAAACTAAAAAAAACATTTCCTACTAATTTAAAATATCTGGTAAACAAAACTTTGTGAACAAATTCTGGGAAATCTTCGAAGGTCTTAATGAGTTATTAAGAATACATTTAAATTACTGATAAAAAAAATGTATAAATTTAAAAAAATAAGCAGATTAAAATGCAATTGATTTTGCTTGAAATAATAAGAGTTTATGTCAAAAAATATTATTGTTCCTTACATTTAACAATAATTGTAAGATGAATTTCGCACAATTTTTACGTGTGTTTGTTTGTGTGCCATTGTCGAAGTTTCTTTTGAAGCTGTGGCTCAGATTCCAGCTGATGAAATACCGGGTAAGTTTTTGAATTTTTTTTCGTACATATTTAATTAATTTTAAGCAAAAAGTACTGAACCCAAAAGTGTTTTATCTACACCTACATTGACAAGCTACGACTTTATGGCGTTTTAGTCACGGGCTGGAGTTAACAACACTGGCTTTTGGGCATTTTAGTCATGGGCTAAAGTTATCTTTTTTATAAATTGCGAAAAAGTGAGGTACATTTTTTTATGAACTTCTTCACTCAAAAGCTTCGCTCGTGCCTAATAAAACTATAAAACTAAAATAAAACAACAATTGAAACTTTACGAACAAAATTTGTCAAGTAAGACTTCCTCTCTTTTGTGAAAAAACTACTTATTTATTTAAAAATGATGTGCTTTAACGAAGTCGCGTATTAAAAGTAGTGATACATCGATACTGATGGTACATTTAAAAGGACTGACTATGGCACAATCCAAATTGTTTTTGCTTTTGACTTCTTTTAATTTTTTTTTACTTTTTTGTTTTTTTTTCTAAAAACGGGCTGACGTGACTTGCATACAGATAGTTTATGAACATGAGAGATAATGATAGATCGCTGAAATATTAGTATCGATATCGGATGCATTCCTTACTGACAGATTATTTGTTTTTTAATTTTCTTGTTTGTTTATTTTTTAGATGTGGTTCAATTCAAGCCGAAGGTTGTTTACCTACAAGTGGTAGATAAGACAAGGCCATATCCATACTGTTGTCCAAGAGCACAGTGGGGACCATACTTTATGTATTGACATAAAATATTTTGCGTTTTAAATAAAATAGTATAAATAAATTATTATTATTAATATTTAAAAAAGTTTTATTTTGGTATTAATTAGTATTGCAGTTGATTTATATCTAGACACCAAATGTCATATAATGATTCACATATGTATTATTTGGTATCCCCAGGGATAAATTCTAGCGCGCCACTGATTTGAAACAAATTATCCTTACAGAAGCGTGAAATAAGGGAATAAGGACCTCAATCACTTCGATCAGGTGGTACATTTCGTCCGGAAAATGCACATAATCAAATAATTTTATCATTCCCTGACATCTTGATGACGCAATATGTTCAAATCAAATTTTTTTTCATTTCTGCTTGATGCATTTTTTAAAATAATTATTTATTGTTCTAAAAAACGAAGGTGATAAAATTGTTAAATCGTATAAAAACTGTCTTTATTTTTTTATTTCCTTCTACATTTAGTGGACTAGTGTATTAAATTGGGAAAAACTGGATGTTAGATTGGTAAAAAGTGAGGTTAAACCGCTTGACAGATAATGTATCTCTCGTATAATAATATACATACCATTTTAAACTGCTGCTACTATAAAATTGTCTCAGAAATATTAAAAATATGTAAACTAAGATAACTAAAAATTGTCTTAAAATATTATATAAATATTTTAAAAACGTTTCTAAACATATCCCATTTAAATATATTAATTTAATTCTACGAAATCTACGAACGTGTTAATGAGTTATTAAAGAAAAATTTTAATTTCTATTTAAAAAAAGTTTATGATAAATTTAAAAAAATACGCACATTAATATGCAACTGATTTTGCTTAAAATGATGCGAGTTTATGTCAAAAAATTATTATTGTTCATTAGGTACTAATTGTAAGATGAAATTCGTAATTTTTACGTTTGTTTGTTTGTGTGCCATTGTCCAAGTTTCTTTTGGAGCTCTATCTCAAATTCCACCCGATAAAACACCAGGTCAGTTTTTGAATTTTTCTTTGGTACATTTTTAATTAATTTTAAGCAAAAAATACTGAACCCCAAAGTGTTTTAAGAATACTGTTGTTGTGTTTTAAATAAAGATCTAATATTTTTTGTTTTAATAAAGGTCATCCTGGTTTTTGCAATTCAAACGATACCGGACCAATGGAACAAGGTGGAACAAAGCAACTTAAAAATTGTGTTGTAGCTTGGTGCAACCATGATGCTTCAATAACTTTGGCATCGTAACTTGTACGCATTTATTTTTTAACAACATAATTATTTTAAGTTTTTTAGGTGTGGTGTTGTAAGCTTTGAGGGTTGTAAAAAGGTGCAAGATTTAACTAAACCATATCCAGACTGTTGTCCAGAAGCCCAATGTTAGAACATCATTTTGTGTTTGGGTATATATACAATTTTTAAAAGTCAATCGAGATACAAAAAAGAAATTGTAAAAAAATATGTATTATTATCATCAAATAATTTTTTCTTGATAAAATATTGAGTTTAAATTTTGTTTGATTTCTTTATTTTACAATAGTTCCTCCTGTTAATATTCCTTTCACTCCAAACATTTTAAGTAATTTAAATTTAAACAATAATTTTAGAAGTAAAAACACATTTATTTTGGCGCATCCGCTATTTTCAATCACAAGGGTAGTCTTGCACAAGGCGTCTCTAAGGATAAGGAAAAATCAGAACACAACGTCCATATAACGTTGAACGTTGGTCTCGCTGATTATTAAGTGATCTACCCCTCGAAATTATATTTAAGTTTGAACATTATTAAGAAATCTATCAAAAAATAATAGTTGTACAAACATAACCATAAAATCAAACATTTTTATATTTGAGTCATCTAAAACAACGCCGACAACTACATTTTAAAATGGTAAACAATAAAATATATCTAAAGAGAAAATACACAGGTAAATAAATTAAGTTATTTTTGTGTCGCTTTGGCATTCCTCTATAGGTACAATAATACATCTGTTACTATGGAGAAGGTAAATAGAAAAATATTTGCCAATTTTGATCACTTGCATTAAATTTTCTGCTCCTGTTTTTTTATAATATTTGTTAATAATGACGTCATAAATCATCCCTAAACACTTTAAATATGTCAAATTGTCATTATAATTATGGGACATTAATAATTATGGGACATTAATAATTATTATCCCACCAGTCATATATGTTGAGACATAGGATTATAATTTTGATCTCGATCCTCAGCCGGCCTGCACTGAGAAAAAACAATGGTTATCTTAATCGAATATATAGTAACTTTTACTAAATATTCTGATTAGTATAGGCACAGCCATATTTACTGTTATATTAACCATGTTTATATTGTAACAGTTTTATTGTCACTTTAACTATATTTTTGTTGTTGCACAAAACAATAATTTATTTAGTTATAATAATCATATGCAAATACCTTATAACCCTCTATATGGTTAAATATACTATACGTATGATATGTATAAACTTTCTGTATAGTAAAAACTACAACGACATATTGTTAATAATGTGTGACAACATTATATTGTTATTGTAACCAGATAATCTTATAATTTTAACCATCTAGTGTAGTACTAACAGTTTAGCCATATATGATGGTTGTAATAGCCTAATCAAATATCTAACTTTACTAAATTTTTATAACAAAATGATTAGAGTACATATAACAAAACAAATTTTTCGTATATTGTTATTACAACCATAAGTTATAATTAAATGAACCATATTTTGCATAACAAATCTATATTGTTAGGGATTACAATATATTTTCTTAGAGTGTGAGTCAGCCCTATAAACGAAAGGATCTTCCTCACTAAGTTAAATTAGTTCTTCATGTTCCTTTTCTGATAAACCTAGGCGACTCATTTTATAAAAAATACAAATACTTTTTATACGTTGTATAAGACTATTGGGACAAATTTGTCCATAACAGAAGACTTTTGGGACTTTACAACAAAAAAAAAGAACTTCTCTATATATTTCCTTTCTTACAATAGTAATACTTATCTTTTCACCAATAGTTACACGAATTGCATCAAAACAGGTTATCTCTCTAAAAATGAATTAGTCAAAAATTTAATAGTTATTAGTGTGCTTTTTCACCATGGTATCCCAAAATTTAACAGCCAATTCTTATGTAAAATTGTCCCCTGAATCCGAAAATGTCGTAAAAAGTTAAAAAAGTAGAGTAGAGATATATTCAATTTTCCATTTAACAATTTTACATAAAAATTGGCTGTTAAATTTTGTGATACCATGGTATCCCATGGTTAACCATGGTACAAGTGAAAAAGCAGCCACTAATAACTATTAAATAAGTCATTTTTGACTAATTCATTTTTAGAGAGATAACAAGCCAAATAAGGCGAAATTTTCCAAAACATAACTAAAGACTGTTGGGACAGCACACCGCATTAAAATAAATTGAAGCTGAGCAATTAGTACGTTATAAAGCTATGTTAGGACTAAGGTTAGGACATATACCTATGTCCAGCTAGTATTGAAAGGGTTAAACCCGTTTGACATGTCGAACGGGTTTAACCCTTTCAGTACTAGCTGGACATATGTCCTAACATCTGCAGATGTCAAAATGGTAAAAAGTGAGGTTAAAACCGCTTGACATTTGTCAGATGTCAGAATAATTGTTTTAGAAACTTCCCAAGATCATTACTTTATTAAAACCTCGCTCCGCTCGCGCATAATTAAACTCGTGAATTATTTGGGTTGGGAATTATTATTATTATTATTATTATATACGAGGGGCGAATATAATGATCTTTAAAATTGGGAGAAAGTAAGGTTAAAATAAGTTTTGTATCAATGAAAATTACCAAATAGGATTTTAAAAAGCAAAGTACCTATATTACACTAAAGATAATGAACATTATCTCTTGTATAATAATATACATACCATTTTAAACTGCTGTTACTATAAAATTCTCAGAAATATTAAAAATATATAGTTAAACTAAGATAACTAAAAATTCCTTGAAATATTATATAAATATTTCAAAAACGTTTCTTAAAAAATGTTTATCAAATATTTTAATTTAAAATATTTGATAAAAACCTTGTCAACAAGTTCTAACGGAAAATCTACGAACGTGTTAATGAGTTATTAAAGAAATATTTTATTTACTAATTAAAAAAAGTTAATGATAAATTTAAAAAAATACGCACATTAATATGCAACTGATTTTGCTTAAAATGATGCGAGTTTATGTTAAAAAATCAGTATTGTTCCTTACTTTTAACAATTAAAACTAATTGTAAAATGAAATTCGTAATTTTTACGTTTGTTTGTTTATGTGTCATTGTTCAAGATTCTTTTGGAGCTCTATCTCAAATTCCACCCGATAAAACACCAGGTCAGTTTTTGAATTTTTCTTTCGTCCATTATAATTAATTTTAAGCAAAAGTGTTTTAAGAATACTGTTTTTAATATAAATCCATTATTTTTCGTTTTAATAAAGGTCATCCTGGTTTTTGCAATTCAAAAGAAACCGGACCAATCAAACGAGGTGGAGCAAAGCAACTTCCAAATTGTGTTGTAGCTTGGTGCAACTATGATGCTTCAATAACTTTGGCATCGTAACTTGTACGCATTTATTTTTTAACAACATAATTATTTTTATGTTTTTTTAGGTGTGGTGTTGTAAGCTTTGAGGGTTGTAAAAAGGTGCAAGATTTTACTAAACCATATCCAGACTGTTGTCCAAAAGCAGAATGTTAAAACATTGTGTTTATAAATACAATTTTTGAAAGTTAATCGAGATAAAAATAAGAAATTGTAAAAAAATATGTATTATATCAAATAATTTTATCTTGATAACATATTAAGTTTAAATGTTTTTTTTATTTCACAATATTTCCTCCTGTTAATATTTCTTGCACTCCAAATGTGATTATTAATTTCAATGTAAACAATGATTTTAGAAACAAAAACACATTTATTTTAGCGCACCCGCCATTTTCAATCACAAGGGTAGTCATGCAAAACGCGTCGCTAAGAGAAATGTCTTATTAATAAGGATAACGACTGATAAGGAAAAATTAGAACACAGCGTCCATATAACGTTGATATATAGTTGTATAAAATAAAACATTTTTATATTTAATTTATCTAAAAGAACGCCGATAACTGCATTTTAAAATGGTAAACTAAAGAGAACAAGTAAATAAATTAAATTTAAATTTTGTGTGTCGCTTTGGCATTTTTCTATAAAATAATACCTCTGTTCTCTAGAGAAGGTAAATAGAAAAATATACGCCGCTTGCATTTCTGTTCCTTCCTTTTTATCTGTCATCCAAAAATACGTATTTTTTAGAGTTTTTAATAGGTTTAAATTGAAAGGAGTGGAATAGTAATTTTTTTTTAAATACTCGTAACCGTAACCTCTCTTTACAAATGTATTTTAAGTACCTACTTGTTCTTAAAATTTTACGAATACATTTTTTAGTACTCGTGCCCAGCTCTGTTTAAAAGTATACTGATAGTACATTTAAAATAACTAACTATGACACAAACCAAATTGATTTGGCTTTTGGCTTTTTGTTACTTTTGTGATTTTTGTATTGATAGACTTGAACTTTTGTAAAGAGATAATGGACATAAGATATTAAGATCGCCAAAATATCGGTATCGATATCGGATGCATCCCTAATTTGCATATATTTTTTTTAATTTTCTTGTTTGTTTATTTTTTAGATGAGGTCACCTCAATCACCTTGAACTACACCTCATTGAGGTGTAGTTCAAGCCGAAGGTTGCTTAAAAGTGGTAGATTAGACAAGGCTATATCCATACTGTACTGACATAAAATTTAAAATTTGTTTTAGAGCAGTATAAAAAATTATTATTATTATTAATATATAAAAAGGTTTTATTTTGGTATTTGTATTTCGGTTGATTTAAATCCAGTCAACAAATGTCATATAATGGTTTAAATATGTATTATTTGGTGTCCCCAGGGACAAATCCTAGCGCGCCAATGCTTTGAAACAAATTATCCTTACAGAAGCGTGAAATAAGAAAATAGGGACCTGATCAGGTGATACATTTTGTCTGGAAAATGCACATTATCAAATAATTTTATCATTTCCTGACATCTTGATGACGCAATATGTTCAAATCAAATTTTTTTCTTTTCTTTTTCTTTTCCATGCAATATGTTCAAATTAAAATTTTTTCATTTCTTTTTCTTTTCCATGGATTTTTAATAATAATTATTTATTGTTTTAAAAATGAAGATAATACAAATGTTAAATTAAATTTTATCTCCTTCTACATTTAGTGGACTAGTGTATTAAATTGGGAAAAAGTGAGGTTAAAACCGTTTTACAGATGTCAGATTCGTAAAAACTGGGGTTAAAACCGCTTGACAGTTGCCAGATATTAAATACAATGTAAATTTCCTAAGATCACTACCTACTTTATTAAAAACTTGCTCCGCTCGTGCATAATTAAACTCGTGAATTATTTTGGTTTTCCGTATATAATGGTAACCATTATAACCGCCCTGCCTGACAATGGAAAAAATGAACTTATTTTTAATTTGGAATGTCAGGTTGTTTAATATATATATGAGGGGCGAATGTAACGATCTTTAAAATTGGGAAAAAGTGAGGTTAAAATAAGTTTTGTATTAATGAAAATTACTAAATTGTATAAAAAAAGCAAAATATTACACTAGATAATGCGCATTATCTCTTATAATAATAGACCATTCTAAAACTGGTTATACTATAAAATTGTCTCAGAAGTATTAAAAACATCTATTTAAACTAACCTAACTAAAAATTGTCTTAAAATATTATATAAATATTTTTTACATATCTCATTTAAAAATAAATATATTAATTTAAAATATTTGATAAAAAAAATTTGTTAACAGATTCTGCGAAATCCTTGAACGTTTTATTGAGAAAACATTTTAATTACTGATAATGAAAAAGTTTCTGATAAATTTTGCTTAAAATGATGCGACTTCATGTCAAAAAATTATTATTGTTTCTTACTTTCAACAGTTAACACTAATTGTAAGATGAAATTCGCAATTTTTACGTTTGTTTGTTTGTGTGCCATTGTCCAAGTTTCTTTTGGATCTGTATTATATAGGCCAGCTAATAAAACACGTAAGTTTTTGAATTTTTCTTTTGTACATTTTTAATTAATTTTAATAAAAAAAAACACAAAAGTGTTTTAAGAATACTGTTTTAAATATAAATCCATTATTTTTTGTTTTAATAAAGGTTTTCCTATTTTTTGCCATTCGGAAGAAACCGGACTAATAGGACGAGGTGGAATAAAGCAACTTCCAAATTGTGTTGCAGCTAGGTGCCACCATAATGCTACAATAACTTTGAATTCGTAACTTGTACGCATTTGCTTTTGAACAAAATAATTTATTTTTAATTTTTTAGGTGTAGTTCTGTAAGCATTAGGGGTTGTAAGAACTTGCAAGATTTTACAAAACCATATCCAGAATGTTGTACATGTTAGAACATCATGTTATGTATATAGAGAAAAATTAGAAATTGTAAAAAAATATGTTTTATTATCATCAAATAATTTTATCTTGATAAAATATTGAGTCAAAATTTTCTTTGTTTTCTTTATTTTATTTTGTGGAACAAAAGTTCATCCTCTAAATATTCCTTCCACCACTCCAAATGTGTTTATTAGTTTAAATTTAAACAATGATTATAAAAAGAAAAATTTAGAGTAAAAACCACAGACCAACAAACAAATGGACCGGTTTATTTACATTGAAAAGAGTGGAAAGGAACAAAAATAAATATTTTCCCTCAGTTGTCACATCTGACTTGACTATTTGCTTTGAAGTAACTATATTTTACGTAAAAGATACTTGCAATCCACAACTTATTTAATATTTTTTATTTGATTTTATAGTGAAAAATACCAATAGTGAGTGATATAAAAATGGTGAAGCAGTGGTACGTTTGTAAAAGACTTGAATCCAAGAATTTAAAACTTTCTTTTCATAGGTTAGTTTATTTACAAAACAAACCCTGCCAGGGGCGTAGAAACTGAATAAATAAATAAATGAATTCACTTAAATTTTAGATTTAAAGAGCGAGATTCTACATCATCTGGAACACTAACTGCTTCAGAGTTTGAATTTTTGATTGAGGGAAATAATAGCCAAATAATTAGTGGTTCACCTGGTAAACCGACAAGGTTAGTATTTTGTTATACCTATATATTTATATATATTAAATATAATTTTTACATAGGATTGAAAAACAATAAAAAATGTACAATTTAATGTTTTTATTTATTTTTTATATTTTTATTTAAATTATGATCCCTAAAAACAGAACGCCACTGGTGTGGGAACTTGTTTATAAACACCCCTCCCCTTACTCCTTTACCCCTAATCTAAATCGTTCTTGGCAACAAAACATTGTGTATTTTGAATGGGAAAGGCCAGTCCATTTTGATTGTAGGTCTGTGGTAAAAACCAAAGACATCAAACCCAATAGACCCGGTAATTCATTTATAAATAGCAAATAAACATGAGCCAACATCCTTTAGGAGAAGGTGTGGAGAGAAGTAAAGGGGGAGTAAGCTGCTAGACCCCCACTCTAACAAAGAAGCGCGCGACCAAGCCGCTTACCATAGGCGTAGTCAGGAAATATTATTTATAATAAAATTAATTAATTGAATGTAATGTAATATGGTATTAATTTTCGTTTTCAATGCAAATTCGTAAAATTTTAACATAACTTATTAATTATATAGCAGCATTGTAACGTAGTCTACAAACAAAAATAATCTTCATATTGTACTTAATAAAATAAAACATACACACTTAAAACATATATTTTACAAAAAAAACTAAAATCATTACAAATATGAGCAAAAACTTGCTTTGCAGAAAATGTTACATAATATTTTAGGTCAATGAAAATATCTAGTTTGGCAAACCCCAGAATATTTTAAAATAAATGAAATAATTTTTCATTTAGTACACAATGTTACCTTCTATTTCACTAATTTATTTATTATTTTCATTTATTAAAAACCATACAAATTATTACCTTTTATTTTGCTAATTTATGTTATAAAATGGTATGAGATATTTAAGAAAAAATATGAAGAAAAAATATTTACAGGAGACTATAGTTAAGATTTCTTGTTGAGAAAGTTCAGGACAATATGGCTTCGGATTAGCTCTTTTCTTTAAGTATTTTATGCCACTTTTTTTACATCAAAATCATTTTCTTCAAAATGATTTGAACAAATATAAGCCAGTTTGGGCATTATTTTATTTTCTTCAAAACCTAATAAAACGAACCAATGCATTTTTCGGTTTCGATCGGTTGGAAACCTACAAACAAATTTTTATTCTTTAAATTAAGTTCAATTCTTTGCAGTATAGGTAGATCTTAACATCCTCAAATATAGATAAATAATAATTATTAAAATATAAAATAATATAATAAAAAAATTAAATACAGCGGACGCCTATGACAAAGATGTCTAACCTAACATTTTACCGATGAAAGGATAAATTCATATTTAAATAGTCCAGCTTTTTACATACTTGGCACTGTCTCACCATTTTGTAACATAAAATACAATAACAGATATTTTCAAAACACAAAAACCCTTCAAAAACGTATCGCAAATCGTCAACAAAATAATCATGAATTAAATTCGTAGTACTCGCAGCCAATGCGCCGTTGCCATAGCTTAGGTTTTACAGTGTTTTCTTTGATTTGGTATTAAGTATTTCCTCAATAAAAATATTTGTTTATTTAAAACATGCATAGGTTATATAAAATTTATAAAAAAGGAAAGATTGATGATGTTTATAATAACTTTGGATTGAAAGTGATGCTAAACAGATTTTATTTATTTACAAGTGTTTGTCCGGAGAAAATTATTGGCAACAGTGTCCTAGTGTCGCTTAGAATGTTCCTATGGCTTCGCTACAAATATCATGTAAATAATCGGGTCTATTGGGTTTGATGTCTTTGGTAAAAACACATTTTTGGCGCATCCGCCATTTTTGTAAAAACAACCTTAAATCATGTCATTATTCTTATGTGTCCCGATCATCATCATTATCAAAGACGCACATCGATCAGCGGCGGCGGCAGTGGCGGCCTTCATTCCGCCCCGCGATGATGGAAGTGAAGCTTCTACAACATCAACGATAAGCGAGCTTCCTGCAAAAAACGGCGGATGTCTGGAAGATACTTTATGTACAAAAGAAAGCGGCAGTGTAGGAATCTCGAGATCTGGCAAAAGCTTCACATTTATAACTAACCTCATCCATCTTATTCCTGAGCTGGAAGAGGGGAACTCGAATGCAGCTCAATTTGTCACAAAATCTAATGCCTTCACTTTTCTGTTTCTATTCCTCCAGCAAAAGGACGAAAAGGAATAGCGGCGTCAAAGATGCTCGTACGTATAAGGACTGCCGTCAGGCTTAACAAGTTTCAATTTGAATATATTTATATAAATTTTTTTAAGGAAAAATATCTTATTTGGAAGATTTAAAAAAAAAATATATAGGACTTTTTGTTATAACATCGTATACGATGCTATAGTAGACATTTTATTCTGATTTTAATTTGAGAAAAATAAGGGGTGCATTAGAAATAACAGCGTATGTCAATCCATACCGTATTACTATATATTCTAAACATTTTGTTCGTACAAGAATTGACAACAATACATTTAAAGCATACATGGAATGCCCTATATATTTTTACATATTGAGAATCCTGAGAAAATTCTGAGTCGAACAACATCCTCAAATTGACCTTTCGACGTTTCGTCATCAGAAAATGCATCATAAAGATCAATCTAGAGTGCTTTGAACTATTTGAGAAAAACGAATTTTGACAAGTTTAGACTGCTGGGAATAGCTGAATAACAACTTTCTAAGGCAAGTTCCATTTTTCAGGCATTGTGTGAATCCATTAGAAGAAAATAAGATACATAGTTCAAAGCACTCTAGATTGATCTTTATGATGATACATTTTCTGATGACTAAACGTCAGAAGGTCCATTTGAGGATGCTAATTTCCTCAGGATTCCAAATATGTAAATATATATAGGGCATTCCATTTAAAAATCGAAAGTTGATATCATTTCCGGAGAAACCGGAAGTTCAAAAAATTCATTTTGTTCTCTTATAAGTGTCATTTTATATCCTAATTAACAATGCAAAATTTCATGTGTCTATCTTTATAAATAAAAAAGTTACAGGGGTGCGCCTATTCTCAGATACACACGGTATAGGTAGTTTTTTCACAAAAAAAGGAAGGCAAAAAAAGTCTAACTCGACAAATTTTGTTCGAAAAGTTTCAATTGCACAGCTAAATCGCCCACGTTATTTGTGGCAAGTAAAAACTGAAAAACTTTGGTTTAGTACTCGATTTTGATTTATTATTTCTTATATCATTAAGGAACTCAACGCCTATATGCTTATATAGTTACGTTAGCGTGTGTATTTTATGTGAGTGATCATGGTAAATTATTGTGTTTTTAATAGTAAATGTATTTCAAGTCGTTGACTAAGGATTTAATTCAGTACACATATTTGTTGGTGCAGAATTAACTAATGATAACTACATAATTTAATTTATTTTTAAATTTGTACATTTTTAAGTAATCTAAATCTAAAAATAATAGTTGTACAAACATAACCTTAAAATCAAACATTTTTATAACATTCGCGTTTGACAGCTGATTAGGTATTGGTTAAAAAATATATTAAATTAAAAAAGTTAAGGTTACAAAGTAGTATAGTCTTAAAAAGTACCTCATAATTATATAAATATACATAAATACGTAAATTTATAACTTTAAAAGGGACCTTAATTATATAAATGTACCTAAATACGAATATAACCAAAATTGAATATTATACATAGAATTTTTCCGGGTATGCTAAAACCTCAATTATATGAAATTATAAAAAACCATAAAAACAAATTTAAACAATGTAAGTACGATCTTTTGATTCAAGAGCATGGACACACTGTGTTGAGATTACCACCCTACCATCCCAAACTCAACCCTATTGAGATAATTTGCTCAACAGTTAAGAACAATGTCTATAATAGAAACTGCAGCATACTGCTTATAATGAAATGGCCCGGGATTGAAACATTGTGTACTTCTGTAATTGGGCCTGGTGCCTGTTGAAGGCACATTAAAAATAATAATAATAATAATAATAATAATAATAATAATAATAATAATAAAATAATAATAATAATAATAATAATTATTATTATAATGGTTTAAGCTGGTTTCCATAATTTTTCACAAGTTTAGTTTGTTTTATTCGATGTTGGCTTCATGGTGGCCAATTTATGGTTTTTATTTGGCAACTAAACCTAAATTGCAAGTATTTGTAAATACAATTTTGTAATAAATAAATTTAGAAAAAATATGTTCTTTACATTTTTCTTGCAATGTTAATGTAGTAACTTGACACTTTTTTTTTATTCTTTATATTTGCTTTAAAACAGGATATTTTATTTTATTGAAAACATTTGGCTTATAAATGTCTTTAAAACAAGAAATTTTATTTGAAAACCCATTATTTAAAA